ACTCGTACTTCTACCATCACAAAGTTAAAATATTTTGGAGCCTCTAAACATCTTAGAACTCTTGGCCTTATCGTATCCTGGCTAATTTCGGTAGTTAACGCATTGCATTATTGCAATGCCCAGAGTTTGTTGTCGGAAGGAACTGAATCTGAGATGCCCATCTCCATTTTGCATAAGCACCCCTATCAGAGCGTTTGCGTTCTGGTATAGAAAGCATTATATTACTAATCCGCAAGCAACTTAGCGTACAACCGCAAGATGTAAATGCTAGATCAAATTTCACGCATGTTTATTTGGAAAATGTACGCGCACTGACGATACTTAATCCATTTAAAACCTTTTTGCATAATCCGGTTTTGCAAAGAGAGAATTTACGAAATGTATGGTAAACATTTCTACTTGCTATAGAGGAGTATGTTGTTCGTGCAGAAAAGGTTTCAAGTTCGACGGGGATACAAGTAACGTATATATTTTATCTGTGCTGCACATCAAACCTGCGAATTTTTCCGCCATTGTGACTCAGATCAAGTTTATTTAGGACCTTTTTTTTTGGCGCGTGTGCACACCGGACAAGTGTGATTTATCTTTCACTTGTTTTCATTGCACAAATAAAATATTGTTTCCGCGTTGAATCTCTTTTTCATCTTTCGGAGATTCATATACGCGTATTCGCGCACACGATATGATTTATATGATATACGTTCAACAATGTGTTCTATTGTCTTCTATTTTATACACACATATTGTTGGTGTAATGTGTACGACATTTTATTATAGTTACAAGTTTTGAAAAAATATTTCGTTATTGCTCAGGAACAGTTAAGGTGTGACTAAAACCCGTGACTAAAGTACTTTAGCCACGACTTTTGTTGTCTGTGGTTAAAGTATGACTTTTTGTGTTTAAAACCGGGGAAAACTGATATTTTAAAGGTGGAAATAGAAAAAATATTAAAACCCGTGACTAAAGTACTTTAGTCACGTCTTTGGTTGTCTGTGGTTAAATTACCACTTTTTGTGTTGCAAAATCGTAGATAAACTAGCGATTTAAAGGTGAAAAAGAAAAAAATCATAAATAATGATTAATTTATTTTTAAAGAAATTTAAATTTTTGAATTTATTTTATTCTCATACAACACAACACATACCGCACTTTTTAGATTTAAATGTTTTATAAATCTACCTATTGAATATTTCATGAATTTTATTCTGACTCTGACCAAAATATAGCAACATCAAAAAAATCGATGTCACTCCAAGGTGATTTCCTTCGAATATATGAAAATATGTGTTGTATATATCGCCTGGGTTTTGTATAACGAGAATCTAAGGGTGGATATAAGGAAAAGGATAAAGAAAAGTGCAAAACGGGCTACTATTTTATGTAGCACATTGTCTTCGGAGTTATCTTTGGAGAGCCGTCGCCGCAAAAGCAGCAATCGCAATGGGGGTACTAAAACTAGCCAAAGTTGCCAATACTCTTACAAAAGTGCAGGAAGGATATGCATGCGCACGCAATGGAACAAGATCCAGAGGAAATGTGCGGAAAGTGTCATACTCGCATATGTTATTGCACTGGTCTTTATATTTCCTCGAACTGGTTCTAAATGTTTGATTTTAAATCGGAATCCAAACATTTTCACGTTTTCAACGTGTAGATATTGTTAAAAATAGTAAACATTTCGCACCAATATCTTCGTAAATGTATACTTATTGGTTTTGACGTAACGCCTTTATTTCTTGAGGATATTTTACCTTAAACGCGAGTGAATTCACGTGTTCAATTTGCCGAATTTTTCGACCGTGAGTGCTTCTCTAGCTAGGTGTGAAATTGAAAACAATATCTTTTACATTACCAGGTATACCTACTTATTCGAATTCGGTCGAAATATAAAAATACGAACGGAAATAGTATTTGCGTGAGCAATTCAATTACACCCTAAGGCACCCCCTCGACACGTAAACATTTTCTCCAATTTAAAACCTGAATTAGCCCAGAAGCAAAAAAATTCAGTTAAACTATCATATTTCTTTAAACATTTACATTAAAAGCCTTTCACATTAAATTAAAACTTGACATTTGATACGGAACTGAAGAAAGTGATATCAGGAAAAAATTGTTACGAGCGTTGCGTGCAAATAAAGTACCTGCCTACCGATATAACTAAATTATTATATCGAAGCAAATGCAAATCTAACGTGCACGAAGTGAAAAAGAAGAAAAAGTCGGATTGAAACAGTTTCATGTAATACTATAATAATATGAAAATGTGAGTACTTCAAATGCATAATTACGAGATTTATGGCCGTCATTATGACGCGCTATAATTCATTGAGCATAGTTATTACTCTATCCAAGCTTTCGTAAATGATTACAATGATTAAGAAGAATTTGCGTGCTTGTACAATATGTTCACAATCATAAAGCTTTCTTGTTCGCGTGAATTAACAAATGTTTCTTCTTTGCGGGAATTATTTTAGTGCTAATATATATTTACTTCTTGAATATTAGTTATGAGAAAGGAATTATTGTTTGTGAAGAATACAGAGAATGGTATTTAGCGAAAAAGTCTACCTGTGACTAAAGTACTTTAGTCACTAGTTCTAGTTTAGTTTCAGGCTATAAACAGAAAAACTTTTTTTTTGTTTTTCAAAGTTAAAAGTAGTCCATCCCGTGATTAAAGCCCGTGACTAAAGTACTTTAGTCACTGCTCTGCCTGTTCGTGCTTAAAGTTCAACTTTTTTGTCTCAAAATCGTGGAAAACTAACGTTTTAAAGGTGAAATTAGAAAAAAGTAGTTAATTAGTTAACAAGCATTGAATATTCTGCTTTCGTTTCCAATATCCTAGATACCAGCAAGCAACTATTGCAAAGTGGCGATAAGTACAGCTAAAAAGCGTTTGCCTCGGTACTTATTCATTGTGTCAGAAAAGAGATGCCTTTTGTCTTATTGTTAATAGTCTGTACGGTGAGAGGCTTTTCTTGAGTTTACTGTATTCACGGTAGCTCTCCTTTTCATTTTAGTTACATGTTTCTTGCAACCACCGTTTATACCAAATGTTTTAAATAACAAACAAATAATTTAAACACTTAATATTTATCTAAATATTTCTATATACACTCAATATAATTATACCAAGATATATTTATGTTTATACTCGTATACTAAACGCTGTTTGTAATTATGGCACGTGAGTGATATATTTATGCCTCTAGCCTTTTGCAACCTGAGTTGTGAGGACACTGCCTGGCTAATTTGAAGGCACGTAAACTAAGAACAGGGCAATAAGGAGTGCGGAACAATGCGGCGTTTACTGCGCCGTTGGAATTATCTATCATTTGGAAAGGTATCTTTTGTGAACTTAAAGAGCGTTTGAAGGCGAGGGACTTCATGTTGCGAATAGTAAATGGCCAACGAAACGGCGTGTTTAAAGTTATTATTCTTCAAGTGCCTCGAGTTTCAACAATGGACTAATTAACACTTTTGGGGCGAAAGGAGATAAGAATTCACTTACTGGTGCGATATATTTAAGTCATATAGTCGCGTCGTCATTAAAGCATAAATGGATCCCTACTAATATTATAAATGCGAAAGTCCTGATGTTTGTTACACTTTCACGCAAAAACTACTTAACCGATCATCATGAAAATTTGTACACATATTCTTAGTGGTCCCCGAATGGTTATAGGCTACTTTTTATTTAATAAAAAAATATTTTTAAATAAAATAAAGAAATTGTTTAGCCAATAATACCTCTGCATCTGGCTATTTGACTACTTTAACGCCATCTAGCATTCCAGCAATGAAGCTCAAACCTAAGTACTATAGTACCATCACACTGTATTATCACACTGTATTACCGACAGCTACGTCAACATCAAATCCAATTGACTACACTATGGAGACTGTACACTATACTTCAATAGACTATACTTTCAACCATTTTAAACTTCCCGCCATTCTACTTCATTGATACTTCTTCTGTGACTACAGACGCGTATGGAAGCAACTTCAGTATTTTAGATATTCGCGGGTTAAAGCTAGTTTTACATATTTCTTGTTTTTATGGATTAAAATAAGCGCACGACACAAAATGGTCATTTTATGTAAATAATTATTAATTAACTGATGCAATAACAATATCGGTTCGCATCATATCATCAACCGAAACTCATCGGGCAAGAAAGCGGTAATAAACTACGTGTATGCAAATTTTATTCCATTTAACGCGCGCGTTTGAGTTTTAAACATTTATCAGAAGAAAACTAGTGTGGACGATGGTTTTTACACGATTGAAAACTTAAAAATAAACGCGCACGACTGCAGAGTGATTAATACAACGGAAAAAAACGTTTTTGCATAAACAATTCACGTCTGTCGAGGCGTAGACATCGAGAAATTCTTTGATTCGTATAAAAATAGTTCATTTGCATCTTGTATGCAAGTGCATGCTGCATTTTAATGGCGGCGGTCGTGTCTAGACAAGATGGAAGACATATTGTTGCTAACGGCGGCGCACAGAATAATTAAATTTCTATTTTAGCGTGATTTTTAATAGTTTTTGAGGTTATTTGATTAAAATGAATTTTAGTAATTCTTAGGAAATGAAAATGTTTAATATTTTTGTGTCAAAACTTAGAATCCTTGCCACCTTTAATATTTATTTTTGTTTTTAATCTTGAAATGGTGCACGTGATGTTTGAATGCACACATACACGACTTTTATAAAATTTTAGAATTTTTTATTTAATTTTATCTTTAAACCACCTTATATTAAAAAGTAGTGTATATTTGGTTGCCTATATGCAACTTATATAATATAGGTGTTGAAAAAATGTACATAACCTAGTTTTTGTCTATATTTTAATGTTTTCTTTGTTTATTTAGTTTTTTTTCATAAAATTTCTTGTCTCCTGTGTACAAACGGGTTCTAACGTAACAAAATTCAAAGCATTCTCGTATCGCATATGAAATTTATGCAAATTCACTTGTTGCCTGCGTCGCCCGCTGCCGCAGCTTCCAGAACCTGCAGATACGACGCCATTTGCTATCATGTGTGTGTGCAAAATTCAAGTTTTGATTCTTGCCTGATATAAAACCACTGCTGCGACGGCGACCGGCTCAGTTTCGTCGTGCGCTTCGAAAGCAATTTATCGCTCTTTCTTAATGTGTGCCAACAACGTATGTGTCAATGAATAGTAGGCTTGACGTGTATAAACCCAGTTCGAAGTTTCTGCCAGTCATTCGGTAATTATTTCAGCTACTTTACACGAAAAACACAAAAAAATAAAATAAAAACACGTTTCACAACCGCCATTTTGATTGTGGCATAGTAAACATAACATATGTTACCTCCAGCGGCCATTTTTAATTCTTTTCTTTCATTTCTCCGTGATTTAGATTGGATAAACACCTGAGAACTCGAAAAGGCAGTCGACTTGGCAACTCCGGCAATCGGTTAGAACTGCAGGTGCTCACCCAGCTCCATCACGTGCCCTAGCTTGACCACGCCCACATTAGACACCAGTGACATCTATTAGCATCAATCGCACGCACGTCTAGGAAATTAACCTCATCGCACACCGCACACAGCATTTCAAAATGGTCCAGGGAACTTCGTACGACTACGGCACCAAGGTGACGCCCGCGTCAGCGTCCTCGTGGGAGAAGGCCTCGGCGAAGCGCTCCGGCTACGAAGCCGTGCAACGCGCCGATAAAGAGCGCCAGGAGCAGAAGGCCAAAGAGGCGAACAAGTATGGCGCGTGGGGGTCCACCTTCAAGGGGCGTGATCACTTTGCCAGCATGCATCACTGTTAAATTATTTCAGTAATGCAGGCGATAAAGTGAAAATAATCTAAATTTTGTTTGAATAACACATTACTAAACTTTAAAAATTGCAATTTTGTTTTTGTTTTGTCCGGGGCTGTGTAGCTGTAGTCGGTAGTCATTTTAATCACCATTTCGTTTGTTTTTTTTTTAAGTTTTGTTTTGCACCTAACACATGGAAATAATGCTTTGTACACGTAATAAATGATTAATGATCATATTGATCATATTTTTAATATGTTTTCGTTCAAGATTTGTTTTGTATCGTCCACTGGAGGTGCATCGCTGTAGTTTGGGTTGCATACAACTACTTTTAGTCATAGTTATGATTTATATTGTGCGTTCACTGAGGTGGCGCTGGCGCATGGCAGTAGTTAACCTCTGTCAAATTCGCACAAGTCGCGTGTTCATCAATAAAAGTCGTGTTTCTGTTTGTCAAATTTTAATTTCAAATAGCAAAATTTGATACATTATAAGGCAAAGAAAAAAAGTACATTTTACCCATAAAATAATACTTTCACGAGACAAACATCACTAAATTTTGTATAGAAGTTACGCTCTCCGAATTCCATCTGCTCGCACTTCTCAAGCAATTTGTTACATAAATTTGTTACTAATCATCCTTATATATAAACAATCAGTAGTAGAAAGCCGGGTGCGTACACTTCAACCAGCGGTAAGTCAGTTCAGTGCTACTTCTACAACATCCCATCATAGTACAATCAGAGTCGGATGGTGTGCTCAACGACGTCAAGTTGGTTGCATATATTTTGCATATCTTTTCGTATAGCGTGTATGTGTGTGTCAATGAGTGCGCGCATGCGCACCAGCGCACAGCCAATCAATCATCTCTATACTCATTGTGCGCCTGCGTGCTGTGATAATCTGGTTCGGTTCAACGATTAAAGAAAAAAACGTAAGAAAGCAATATATCAAAGAAAGCGTTCGAAAATAATCCAAATCTAAAAAAATTATTTGCGAAGATTTTTAGCAACTGACCAGGTTGCAGGAGTTTAATAAGTCGTATAACCCACTAAATAAAAAAGGAAGTCCCATGAAAAAAAAATTAATTAAAAAAAATAATTGTTTCGCTAGTTTTTTCTCCCCCAAGAGGTGATTTGAAATTGAGATAGGGCAGTTTTTTGTACGTAGGTATAGTATATATATATATAATTATTATATCAGAGGTTAAGTTATCAAAGTTCAACTGAAAATTTAATCAGGGCTGAATAGGATGCATGTGAGGTGGTGCTAGTGATTGATATATAATATGGTGGTGTTTTCATAGACTGACTTACTCTAATGGGATTCGTTCGTCATCACAAGTGTCGTCGTGTTGTGTCGGGTGTGGTCGGCGTGCGTCACCAGCATGGCACCGACCCTACTTGATGTCGCGCGCCCCCTCATTGGGACACGACAGTTGATACAGCAGCTGCAACAGAGTGCGCGTCGGTCGGCCACTCATGCGATTCTTGGTATAGTAGGGATACACTTTATCATCAGCCAGCATAGACACGCCAGTCGTGTCAAAGTGCAGCCAATCAATGCAGTGCACAAACTGATTGAGAAACGCCGCCGCCAGACAGGGATCACCCTTGCCCTTGCCCTTGTTATCCACATCCACCGACCTGTAGTTCGTCACCTTCTTGTCAAAGTACTTCCACAGCGGCATGCGCCACACGCGATCACCAGTGATGACGCTCGCCTTGCGCACCTGCGACCACATCGTCTGCGAGTTGGCGAACACACCCGAAGCGCCAAAGCCGAGCGCCGAGCGTATACCCGGCGTCAAACTGCCGACATCAATCAACAGACGCGGTTTGTACGTCGCCTGGCCAAAGACAATGCAATCCGCCAGCGTTAGGCGGCCCTCATTGTCCGTATCGGTAATCATTATACTCTTGCCATTCATACCCATCACCACATCGCCGCACTTCATCGCCATACCACTGGGCATATTCTCACACAGCGCAATCACCGCATTGATGTTGATCGGCAGCGAGAGGGCCGAAACGCAGCGCAGCGCGCCGACAATCGCAGCGGCACCGCTCATATCAGCACGATACCGAGACATGCCAGGACATTTCTTCAAGCAGAGGCCGCCACTGTCAAAGGTGATACCCTTACCCACCATCAGAATAGGTTTCATATCTTGCGGGCCTCCACAGTAAGAGATTTCCAGTAATACAGGGGGTTCACATGACCCGCGTGCAACCGCCATGAAGGCATTCATCTTGGCATGCTCAATCCAGTCGCGATCATGCACCTCAACGCGTATCCCGCATGGACACAGCTCATTGACGCACTCCTGCGCGAAATGCAGCGGTGTCATCAAGTTTGCAGGCGTGTCCGATAGGCGGCGCGCGAGATTCTGCGACTCCGCCTTGAACAAGCCGCGCTGGAAGCTGTCGCTATCCGGATCATCGTACAATTCAATCGAGGGAATCACTTTCCAGTGTTCGCGCATCTTGTTCTCCTGGTAGCGCCAGAGCGCAAGCGCAGTGCCTTCGGCAGCCTGCTCGGGAAAGCCAAGGCCCTCAACCAGCACACGCGTACAGCCCTGTTTGCGCAGCAGGACGCCGCCCATGCCGGCAGCCATGCGCACCGCCTCCATACCCTCGTCAATCGCTTCCAGTTCATTATAGCCCAGCTTCTCCTTACCGAGACCCACCACGGCAATGGCCCAGAATTCATTATCGATGTTATTGAACGCTTTGCCCTTGCCGGGATGCAGGCTGGCGCCCGATTGCTTTATCAATTCGAGAATCTTGTTGTCGCATTTGTCGTTGAACTTTTGCGCCGCCGGCGTGAAAACAGGCTCGCCATCTTCGCCCTCGTACACGCCCACAATCAGCCCCTTGCGTTCAGTTGGACACTCGTCGGAGCACAAGCGTCGGATGCCAATTATACGGCGGGTCACGTTCTTGAGGAAACCGCCGGGTGACCGAATCATCTTGCACGTCGAGGGGTTGTTGTGTTATTGATTGGAAATTTGGCGCTACTTGCCAAGTAGCCGAAATAGGGTTCTGATTGGGTTTCCCGTTCCGAGAAAAAGAATGTGTGCACTTCGGTTTACAGCAGGGTGTTACACATTTCACAAAAATAATTTTGAAATTGAGCGTCTGGGTTTTGAACGGTGCGTTTTGTAAAACAAACAGATTTTTTTGAGCGCCTTGCTTTACCGAAAGTGTCAATGGTTACCGCGTTATTCAAATTTTGACCCAGGTTTCTCTAGCAATTTTTACAAAATCAACAGTTTCCGCGGCCATCTTGATTCTATTTAAAACAATTGCATTCAAATCAAACAATCAAGGCGGCAATACAAAATCACGAAACTGTACGAATCTACCCGAAACTAAACGAACAGCAGTCACAAACAAATAGGTTATGTTTATTTACATTCGCATCAGTTGCGATGGCTTCAGGAAGTCAAAGTTTACCTGTGTCGCAAATATTAAAATCCAAAGCAGAATTCGAAGATGAACCCAAAAAGAAATCGCGTGAAGACTGGCGTAAGGCTAAAGAGTTAGAAGAAGCGCGTAAAGCAGGCACAGCGCCCGCTGCTGTCGATGAAGAAGGCAAAGATATCAATCCGCACATCCCGCAGTACATTTCAAGCGCACCATGGTATTATGGACAAAGTGGTCCGACTTTAAAACATCAACGTCCACAAGCGGAGAAAGAAAAAGTCTACTCACATCTTGATGAGTGGTATGACAGAGGCGTAGACACTGTAAGTTAATTAAACTCTAAAAATAAACTAAAAAACTAAAGTTTTATTTTATGTTTAGTCTAAGGTAGTGACAAAATTCCGCAAAGGCGCTTGTGAAAACTGTGGAGCAATGACACACAAAAAGAAAGAATGCATGGAACGTCCACGAAAAATCGGCGCAAGATTCTCCGGTGCAAACATCGCCGCAGATGAATACCAACAGAAGAATTTATCGTTAAACTACGATGGGAAACGCGATCGTTGGTCAGGTTATGATCCACGCGAGCACAGAACAATCATCGAAGAGTTCCAAAAAGTCGAAGACGCAAAACGTGCGTTACGAGCTGAGAAACTCAACGCAAACGAATCCGAAGAGGATGAAGATAAAGACGAGGATAAATACGTCGATGAAGTAGACATGCCAGGCACAAAAGTTGATAGTAAACAGCGTATTACCGTGCGTAACTTGCGTATTCGTGAAGATACAGCCAAATATCTACGCAATCTTGACCCGAATTCAGCGTATTATGACCCTAAAACACGTTCGATGCGTGAGAATCCTAATCCCAGCAAGGATGACACATACGCCGGTGAGAATTTTGTAAGATTCACAGGAGATACCACGAAACATTCGCAAGCGCAGTTGTTTGCTTGGGATGCACATGAGAAAGGCGTTGATGTGCACTTGTTAGCCGAACCAACAAAGTTGGAAATGCTGCAGAAGGAATACGACAAGAAGAAGGATCAATTCAAGAGTAAAGTACAACAATCTGTGTTGGAAAGGTATGGAGGTGCGGAGCATTTAGACGCACCACCGAAAAGTCTCCTGCTAGCACAGACAGAAGATTATATTGAGTATTCACGCTCGGGGAAGATCATCAAAGGGCAAGAGAAGGAGATTATCAAGTCAAAGTATGAGGAAGATGTCTACATACACAATCACACGAGTGTTTGGGGTTCGTATTGGAAAGGCGGTCGATGGGGGTATAAATGTTGCCATTCCTATATTAAAAATTCATATTGTCTTGGCGAGGCTGGTAAGGATCAAGAAGTTGATTTACCACCGTTGAATATTGAAACAACTACGACCACAGTTGATAAAATTGATCCTGTTAAGGATAAAGATGAAAATAGTAGTTCTAGTTCAAGTTCATCTTCATCATCAAGCTCTGAAAGTGAAGATGAAGAGAAAAAGAGCAAACAAAAGAAGAAATCGAAGAAAAAGAGTAAAAAACGTAAACAAAAAGAAAAACGCAAGTTAAAAGCACAGAAAAAGAAGAATAATAGTGATGATGATGATGATAATGATGGAAAAGATAAGTTAAAAGAAGCGCTACGCAAAGAAGAAGAACACCAGAAGCATATTGATGAAGTAATGAAGCTAGACGAACGAAAACGATCTTACAATTCAATGTACGACGTGAAAAAACCATCGGAAGAGGAAGTCGAAGCTTATTACTTGAAACGCAAACGAGAGGAAGATCCTATGAATCATTTTACATAATAAAATGTAAGGTTATGGTATGATATACAAAATGGCCGTTAATAACCAAATAATTTTTCTATTTGAAAATATTTTCGTATAAATTTGCGATATATTAGTTTGATAGCACTCTTCAAGTTGCAATAAGTTAATCACAGCCGCGTTTACATTCCCATCGCAACGTTTCGCCTGCTTTTTATGTTAATATAACATGAAAAGCAGGTGGAACGTTGATGCGAATGTAAAATTTGTCGAGAACTTGCTTGGAACTTGCATGTTTGTCGTCTGTCGTTAATGTAACAAGTTAATTTTTAAGTTAAATTGACTTTGTGTTGGCCAAATGGAGGCCATGTTGGACCATGCGATTGATTAGGTACGCTGTGTTGCGCGCGTCGTCAATACCGCAGTGTTCTTGCCCGACGAAGTTCATTTTGAGACTGTGGAGAGCGCCGATGAGGCCCATTGGTGTGTCCTTGTAGAATTCCATGTAGGTTTGACGCACGTCAATCCATTGATTGAAGTAGGACTCTTTGTAGAGACGCTTTCGCTTGCATTCTTTTGAGGCATGTGCCGAGATCCCAGTCGGACCATGTTGCGAACGTGCAGAGAGAATCGTTTTTCTTGTACTGGGTTGATACAAAGTCGAAATTGTGCAGTTTGGAGTTTTCTTGCACCCAAGAGTCAAATTCTTCGAGAACTGGCTCAATGGTTGATGCATTATTAACTGTGGATTGTTTGATGCCAGTGAGGGATGTGCAGAAGTCAGTGAGGATGGGATTTTCGGTGGGTTTGACGTATTTCTTGAATGTTGAGATGATTTCGCCGCTGGGGATGTGTAGCAAGACAGCTGCGAACTCAATGATTTCATTTGCTGTCTTGCGTGTCATTTTGGTGTTCCAGCAGGTCGCTTCGAAGTCGAGGACGATGAGGTAGTCGAATTGCTGGGCTGGCTTGGTCCGTGCTGGCAGATTGGGTTTTTTTGTCGAGATTGTTTCCATTGCTCCCAATTTTCTAGTGTTGTGCAATAATTTGTTGAAATGATTTCTCAGCTGGGTTGAAATTCAAAAATTTTGAATGAAAGTACTTACAGTGCTAATTCACGCAGATCAGACGAAGTCATTGTTTCGGATAATTGTGGATTACTTATTTAATGTGTCAATTATTGCACCACATTTATTGCAATCGACTTTCAAATGTTTCAACTTCTGTCAGCGAATGGTCAGTGATGTGAAATTCATACAGAGGTTAGGTGTTGAAAATCGAGGGAAAACATATCATAAAGCATAAATTAAAGCTGTATCGGTATTTTTATACGCATTATTAAATTGCTTATGTGTGGTATTTTAATTTTTGATGAGTGGTATCAACCTTATTGCATATTTGATAAATGTTTTTGAATGTAATTAGTAGATAGTCGGTTAGATGGCGCCACGATGCACGTTTTCGGTAATAAATATTGCTTGAGGGTGGTAGTGAGTGCACACCGTGTCTGTGTGGATCACGCGATTTCGCGCAAGAGATAAGTTTGTTTACCTGCAGGTATCGAATCTTTATTTCGTGGATTCAAAACACACCGTTGCTGTTTGTTATGTTAGCATCGTAAATATTCTTCAATTCCCTCATGAATATTACTAACAATTTTATTGGATTATTATAAAAATCATCAAAAATCATTGAAATATATCATTATAATGATATATAATATTAATAAATAAATATTAATAAAAATATTATGTTTAGAATAATATTATTAATAACTTGTGTTAATGAGGAATCGAATAATTAGAATAATTCTGCAGTTATGTATGTTTTAAACAAGAAGTAAGAACAGATTTACGAAGATATTCATTTGCCTCATTGTGTGACCAGAGATGGCGCTAGAATGCAAATATTGGTATTAAATTCACTTTTAATGCATATTGTTTGTTTTCAGTGAGGTTGCGTTAGTATCAGTGAGTGGTCAGTGTTTGAGCGAACTCACCGGCTGCTTTAAAATAAATTCGCTTCAGTAAATAATACGAATTCAACGTGTTGCCGCGAATTAATTAAAACAATACTCTGACAATATAACAATATAAATTAATTAAGTTTATTAAACATCTAAAATAATACATAGCTGAAAATGAATATCAAAATATTTTAAAACATTCTCAAATAAAATTACTCGGTTTTTTTAAATTTTACAACTCTATAAACTTTACGATTCAAAACAAGTCATGTTTCATCCACACACAATCACATTAACGAGTTTCATAACCTCGCCGACGGTCGAACACTGTCAGAATAGTATTTATCAGAATAAAACAGCTGATAAACTCAGCAAAAATGAAAACATACGTGATTAACTGAGAAGTAAATCGGCTAAAAATGGGTAACGAGCATTCGCAAATGTCTGGATTGAACGTGGAAGAGAAAGCCATTGAAGTGACGGATTTCTGGTCGCATCACTCCGCGACTTTAAACACAGGTAACTCAAATGTTTCCACTGTTTCGGTGTTTATCGGTGAGCCCTTGGTTGGAGGATCGCTGTGGATGACGCAAACGCCTCTCGAGAAAGCAAGCAAAGTAAGTTTTCATATTCATAATTTAAACTATATTACAAGCATGAAATTGAATTATTTTTGTGATTTCCTCAAAGAACTTAATGCTGCATCGCCATCCTTGTATTCTAAAATATGTGAGCTCATGGAATAAAGGCTCAAAATACTATCTCGCCGTTGAGAAAGTTCGTCCACTCTCGCATGTACTACAATCACAATCAGTGCTACAAATCTGTATCGGTTTACATTCCATTCTGAAAGGATTGGTGTTCTTACATGAGAGAGCATTAGCATCACATAATAATGTATGCACTGCTTCAGTGTATGTCACCAAAGATGGCAGTTGGAAACTTGGGGGCTTGGAATACCTTTGTAAATTTAAAGATATTAACAATGAGTATATGAGGAAGGCAAGAGGCCATAGATATGAAAAAGCAATTGATCCCAATGAAGATAAACTGTTGGCTAGTAAACAATTGGATTTTATTGATATCTATGCATTTGCAGTGCTTGTCAATGAAGTTTTCAAGCATATCAAAGGCAACAAAGATGGTAAAATCAATTTTTTTAATTTAATCCTCAAAAAATCATCATTTTTGCATCTCTTTTAGATACAATACCATTAAATCAATTTTTGGAACTGTGTAAAACTGAATTACATCATCCAGATGTCCAACAACGACCGAAATTGTCTTCGTTGCTTGACGATGGGTTTTTCAACCATGACTTTATCACAATTCATTCTTTCTTAGTCGAACTGCCATTGAAATCCGATCAGGAAAAAGATCAATTTTTCAGTACATTAATTCCACGTCTAAGGAATTTTAAACAACAAATTGTAGCGAAACAACTTGGTGGTTTACTTTTATCACGCATGGTTTTGTTGAATAAAACAGCGCAGACCAAAGTAATTCCAGAGGTTTTAAATCTGAAAGACAACAATGACGATGCCTTATTTGATGTTTCCACGTTTAGAGAACACATTGTTCCGATTCTTCTAGAAATTTTCTGTGTGCGCGACGCGCAGATACGACTTTTACTCTTGGAATATTTTAATAATTTCATTGGTTGCTTCACACAGGAACAACTACAGAATAAAATCTTACCAGAGGTATTTTTATTATTAAATTAATTCTATTATAAATTAAATTTATTATTAAAATAATTATTTTAGCTGTTGTTAGGAATCAAAGACACTAATGATCATCTAGTCGCTGTTACACTTCGGTCGTTAGCAGATTTAGTACCAATGTTGGGATCAGCCGTGGTGATTGGTGGAAAACGCGCGAAATTGTTCAATGATGGTCTCCCGATTGCGCATAAACCTTCATCTGGATCTCGGCGAAGTTCCGCGCGTGTCAGTTTACATCACATTCCTGCAATTACATCACAAAATGAGAGCGATGTGTTGAGTAACAGTTCCGGGACAGAGATTCCCCCCGATTTGATTCTTAATGAGCGGCCATCTCCTGATGGTGAAGAAGGTGACACCTCAACCATCACAGATGAAGGACTGGAAGATAATCAACTTGACGTTGAAGATAGCGTAGGTTTTCCAAATAACGAAGTCTGGGATGATTGGGATATAAACGATGTGGATAATAATGATGCGACTTCATCACAGGGCGTTGATAATATTGATAGTATTACAAATTTTGTACAATTGTCATCAATGAGTTTAACGGGGAGTCCAAACGATCAAAATGGTAATACACATGCAAATCATAACAATCGCAAGGCAGAACTGCCTGATATACTTGAACTAGATATAAAAAATGTTAAGAATGGCGAGAATTCCGAAGAGTTTGACTTTTTCCAAGACATGGAACCCGTTATCAATACGACAAGTAAGTTTTTAATTAGTGAGGATGTAAAGGCGATGCAGGAGGATGAGTCGGACGGTTATCGGAATAAAAAGATTGTGGATGTTAGTCATACCAGCGCAGCGAATATCAGTAGTACGCTCGATTGGAGTGTGAATGTCAACGCGGAACATCAGGAGGAAGGATGGGGCGATGACTTGGACGGATGGGATTAATGTTTTATTTGTTATTTGATTAAATAATATTTAAAAATACATGTGTGATGAGTTTATTTATTGGGATAGCCTTCAGCGCTTGCCTTTGATTTATGGAGTTACGGGATGATTTTACTCAGTTTGACTAAATATTAATTTCTTTTAGTCTTGAAAAATATAATTTGGAAACAAAAGTTTTTTTTACAGAAGATTTAATACAATGTTATTTTGAGTGTGTTATTTTAATCAAGTTTTGTTGTAGAACATTCAGATTTGAATTAATTACATAGTTTGATTTCATCAATTTTTAAACATAAAGTTATATATTGTGTTATTATATGAGCCGCTTATTTTGAAAGTGGCCTAACTCCATTTATCTTCAAATCGAGATATTGAAAGTTTTGCGTTTCAATGAATTTAAAAATATACGTATAAGATACAAAGGAGTCATACTGCTTAAGCGTATCTTAGGATGTTAAATTTACTGTTCCTGTTAAAGTAGTGGCAATTATTAAGTAAATAACGTGCGTTTCCTTATCGAGAATGGAGTTGGGCCACTTTCAAAATTAACAGCCAGATTCATTATAAAATTTGAAGATGCCCAAGTCCATTCAACATAATTTAAGATGTTTCAAATTGAAGAAAAAAAAACGTCTTCGTTTCACAGGCAGCTTCGTGAAGTAATACATTTTGTTTGTTAAAATCTGCCAAACCCCAAAACTTCTCAAAAATATTCTTTCTTTCTTCTTCATTATAATTTTTTGTGCACGCATTCCGACAACCACAATCTCTGGTTCGAAATTTTTTTCATGAAGAATACTTCCGGTTTAACTGCAATATCTTTTTCCTGAATTCCGTTTTATCTTTCGCACTTTTTGGATATATGGTGCATCAATCTTTTCTCCATTGTTATTTGAATCTTCATCCTCTGACGAGGAATATTATTTTATAACTCTTTTTTTATTCGCTTTTTTAAAATTATTAATTACTATTTCTTTTTCACTATCTGAACTAAGTGGTCTTCTTCGGTTCTTCCTCATGCTTGCATAAATAACATGAAGTTGTACATGTAACCATGGTAACCGGCAAAAAATTGAAAACGGAGTTAGGTCACTTTCAAAATAAGCGGCTCATATATTGTGCTGTTTTACAATGAAACGCGGCCCGATTGACGTGACGTATAGATCTTATCGCTGCGGAGTGCGGGCCGACGGGTAGTCTTATCGCGTGTTGTTGTTTATCGTGTCGTCTCTGCTTTCTCGGCTCTCTCAGCAGAATGCGGGCAGTCTCGCGCCGGTTCGCACGCGGTGTTTGCATCTTAAAACATTTGGGCTAATTAGCATTCGGTGAATCGCGTTTTCGCTAATCGCCCATCGCGTGTATCTATTGTGGAATGTTTGTGAATGTGTTTGCTTGACTGTATTGGGTGTGCGTGCGCGTGTGTGAGTGTGATGCAGTCGGCTATTGATGTAATTGATGTCTGGTAGGTCTTAAATATTTATATTATTTGTTTTCATTAATTCTTTCTTTTATAATTGTTTTTTTGCATTAACAGTTCTTGTATTAAGCTCGAAATTTGCAAGCGTTTGCGTACTAGGACGTAGATAGTGCGGGCAAACGGGGCGTCATAACCTGGGCGCGATGTCTGGCGATGACGAAGTATATTTTCTAGCGGCCTTAATACATTTGTTGCATGTATATAGTAATTTCATTTTAGTTACACTTTGTATATTAGTTTTCCTTAATCAAAACTTGATCAAACCTTCTGAACGCACAGATGCGCTGGTGTCTCCTGTTCAGGGCACCGTATGAGGGTAGCTGTAGAAGTGACTCGTGTTCGGGGCACCGTACAAGGGCAGCGGTAGAAGTTATTCGGGTTCAGGGCACCGTATGAGGGTAGCGGTAGAAGTGACTCGTGTTCACGGCAGCGGTAGAAGTGACTCATGTTCAGGGCACCGTATAAGGGTAACGGTAGAAGTGACTCGTGTTCAGGGCACCGTACGTGGATGATTGTATTGCTGACTCCCATTCGCCAATTTTTAATTATAAATTAAAATTTCATCTCTGTGATTTCCAATTGGAAAGTTAAATTGAACTAGCTTATTTGATGGAGAATTTTTCGTAGATTAAGGCGCTGTGATTCGTTCCTTTCTATCTCTTTTAGTTTACGAGATATTCGCAATTGAAATAAATCGTCAAAAATTGAAAAATTGCCATTTTTAGCACTTTTAGTCGCATTTTTCGACTTTTTACTGTTGGAAATATATTTATTTTATATTTATATCTGATAAAGAATTTTTCAATCTGTCGTAATCAGCAATTTGTTGGTTCCTATCGCTTTTAGTTTAAGAGATATTAATTTTTGAAAATCGTCGAAAAAAAGTATCAAGCACCCCCCCTTGGCAATTTTTTCTTATGAATTAAAATTTCATCTCTTAGATTTCGGTTTTAAATATTCTATCTGATAGAGATTGGTCCGTAGACTAATACGCTGCGATCAGATCTTATTTATCTCTTTTAGTTTACGAGATATTCGCGATTTAAAAAAATCGTCCAAAATTTCAAAATGTCACTTTTTAGTACTTTTAATCGCGTTTTTCGACCTTTTACTGTAGGAAATATAATTATTTTATATTTTTGTCTGATAGAGAATCTTCCAATCTTCTTATAATCAATACCCGTTGGTAGCTATCGCTTTTAGCTTTCTAAGAGATATGAATTTTGAAAATCGTCGAAAAGTATCAAGCACCCCCTGGCAATTTTTCTTAAGAATTCAAAATTTCATCTCCCTTGATTTTCAGATTAAATGAGATAAATTCCCTGGCGCGGCTTAATCGCTCAAAATCGCAAAATTGCAAAAATTAACGGTTGTCGGGGCGGATTGTCCCCGGGGTCCATGGCTTTAATAACTGAATTATATTGAAAGTTGTGTGTATTCGCACTAGTACTCGTTGCGCCAGAAATTGTAGTTTTCTTTGTTATAACTTCATGAACGCGGTCTCAAACTTAGTTGGATACAAAAGATGCGGAATTAAATTTTCCGTCGGGTGGTAATAGTTTGTTGCCGAATTCGCTCCTGTAACCCAAGTAGAAAATTTGCATAAAATTGTAATTTTCCATGGTTTTTTCTGTGTTTGCTCGCGATTCAGGCGTCGCACTAACTTCAGCGTGGCGTCAAAAAAAGATGCGGAATTAAATTTTCCGTCGGGTGGTAATAGTTTAGCAATACGTAACTGAAACGAAGCACAAAATAA